TTCGTGGATTCTTCTAAACTGGCTACAACCTGAACAATACCAAAATTATAAATTAAATTAAAGATCTGAACATCCCTTTTTTACATTGATAAGGAATGATTAATTGAAACTAAGAGTAACATTGGTTAGGAATGACATAGGTTGTTAAATAATTGAGAGTGAAAAGGATCGACTATTTATGGAAGAATCGCATGACTAAGCTTGGAAACGAAAATACAGAGTTCAATAAATGTCAAGAGAAAGCATACTTTTGTCCGTTACGTTCATATCTCGTATATAGTCGACGAATTGAAAGGTGTCACGAAGCGAATAGTGGCACATCTGTTCTCTTACAGGTTATAGAGTATAAGCTAACCATTTCGCTATTGAATGATACGGGGATCCTGACATTTCTAAAATTGGACGCAGTGGGAGGCCGGCTTTCTGTATTTTGGCAAGCTATGTAGTCTTGCTATATTCAGTCAGACTGAAAAACAACTCACTTATGTCCTCAAAAGAATGTAAAACCGAACAGTTAATCAGTCATGAAGTTTATGATCACATTCGATAGACAGGATCAATATAGCAAGACTACATAGCTTGCCAAAATACAGAAAGCCGGCCTCCCACTGCGTCCAATTTTAGAAATGTCAGGATCCCCGTATCATTCAATAGCGAAATGGTTAGCTTATACTCTATAACCTGTAAGAGAACAGATGTGCCACTATTCGCTTCGTGACACCTTTCAATTCGTCGACTATATACGAGATATGAACGTAACGGACAAAAGTATGCTTTCTCTTGACATTTATTGAACTCTGTATTTTTGTTTCCAAGCTTAGTCATGCGATTCTTCCATAAATAGTCGATCCTTTTCACTCTCAATTATTTAACAACCTATGTCATTCCTAACCAATGTTACTCTTAGTTTCAATTAATCATTCCTTATCAATGTAAAAAAGGGATGTTCAGATCTTTAATTTAATTTATAATTTTGGTATTGTTCAGGTTGTAGCCAGTTTAGAAGAATCCACGAAATAATTATTTATTTATTTAAACGCAGAAAAACTTGGTACAATATGGCACCAAGAAAGATGTGCCACACAATAATAATAAAACAACATAGATTAAAAGTAAAAATATAAGTAGAAAACGGATAAAGAACTTCATCAGGAAGGAAAACAGTCATGTTTAACAAGTTCAAACAGTATTCGTTAACTATCATCTGAAAGGAAAGAAAGAAGGAAATTGCAACACGACACAGATAGGCTAGGAATCCAGACAAAGGCGAAAGGCTGTCGAAGGTTAAGAAGTCAAGGTGAACAAAGGTAAAATACAGGAAACTAAGTATAAAAATAAAAGTAAGGTTGGAAAGAGATGTTACTTGAGACATCATTATTGCTTGGACGCATTGTTACGAGCGCGCGATAAGTTCCACTGATATTTTGTTGCTTTATTTCATTCATTGTGTGAGGGCTGAGATACTGCCCGGGTGCCCAGACCGAATCAGGTGGTTTTCTTAAGGGACCACCCCCCGAGCCTTTGGCTTGGAGTCTAACCCGCAAGGCAGCAGAGCAGCGTCAGGTGCTGCGTTCCCATGGTTGCCGGTGACCCATATGGGTTCGTACGCCATTCGATCCGATTGGATTCTGGAGCCCATGTACCCCATGGTAACTGCTTTTAGTCTAACCGCTATCCAAACAACCTTCCTGGCATGGTAGGACCTGCAGGGATATGAGTCCCAGCCAGTTTAGCTTGTTGGGTCACTGCGGCATTCAAGCCCGACCACCACGGCAAGGTAGCAGTTATCGGCCGGGCACGAAATAATAGAAAAATTTCGAGCTCAGATTATCTTGGTACATTTGTCGTTCTTCCTTTATTCAAATTTATTAATGGGAAGAATTGTATGAAGGTTGTCTTTGTATCAGTGAGCAGCCTGAAAATTGTATTATTCATTCGCTTAACAAGACTTGTTTCGTCGGTCATTGGTATGTGCCATCTGAATAAATTGTAATTTACACAGAAATAACTGTTACCATCGTTCGACTCAACAGCCCTATCTACATTCGGGACAGTGGTCGCTGCAAGATCAAGTTGATCTTCACAATTCCAATTTACATATTCACGTATACCGAAAGCAGCATGTGGAGAACCACAAAATGTAGGCTTTCCTTGCTGTACTTAGGTCCGGTAATATTGGAAAATGTATTAACTAGGCCTATGTATTTTAACTTAAGACACCTTTCACTAAGTATCTACCTATTTAGTTACCCTAGGGTGTGCAAAGATATGTGCAGTGCACTGGAGGTCAATTGGACTAGTTTCATAGAGAAATATACACATCCTTACGGTTTGGAACACGTAACTTATCACGTCCATTCCTTGAAGTGCTTACCCAGAGATGTAATGGTTCGTGGGGAATTAGAGCATTTCTCAGCGTTCCCATTTGAATCCCACATGAGCAACACTAGAAGTAAGGCGTATAACGGTAACCTACCAGGCAGACAAGTGGCGCAGCGATTTATAGAAGTGTATGCAGAAGGTACGGCTTGGCCAACTGCTTTCATTATCCTCAAATTCACAATACACGGAAATATCTAGGGTTAGGGATAGAATAAGTGTGGGTAATTTCGTGACCACAACTTCACATAGTGATAGTTGGTAACACCCCAGATACCATAACAGAGATCTACGAGGATAACATGATGAAGCTTAGGGCTTATAGGGATTTCAGTAATTTCTTCACCAAACCTTTCGATTCTACGATATTTTTAAATGTACCAATTTTGACCACACAACCACTAAGGTATCTTCGAAAGACATAACATGTAAGTGTTTTGTAGTACCCATGCGTCAGCATGAGGTTATCATTCCTATTCTTCATACATTCAGGGACGACTGATGCACAGCATTACTTGTTCCAATAACGCTCTTAAGATGCTCTGCCTAAAATCTCCCGAAATGTAGGTTTGCACAGATGAATATTTACTAATTCGCCTTTTTTCCCTAACTTTTATTGTTCTCTATTCACTTTAAATTTCAGTTGTTTTCAGCAGCCAACGTCGCAAAAATTTATGTTTTTGGAGCCAACCGACGGCACCGAATTAATTCTGGTAACGGATGCGCGTCAATTGTCCAATGGAAGTTTACTTTACAAGAGGGCTATCGAGGATAACATCCCTAATGTCTGTTCCTCCTGAAACGTCGAATGGGTAATAGTTAAAGGGAATGTGGTTCTCACAACCGGTATGTTGAGTGACACTTTTTCATTTAAATAGCAGATTTTGATACTGCAAAAGTGGCTAAAGGGCAGTTAAACGTAGACAAAAACCACGAAGGTGTTTGAGGAAGGGGATACTTTATTTTTGACGACATCTTAGAGGTGAAGGATTGATTTTTTTTCCCTAAATTTATTCGGAGGAAAGCACAAGCTATAGATAATGGCTCCCTCTACATTTGCTCCGACTCAAAGGTTTCCGAAATACAAGCAACCTGTCGACCAGTTAAGTAACCAAAAGCTAATTTGTTCGCCCAGGGTATAATGTATCCATTAACGTGTGTATTCACTTATAACTTACTTTACTGTTACAGTTGCAGCAGTGCGCATTCAACTTCCAAAGCTTCTACACCAACTTCAACCTCGGAAATACCAAAGTAAGCAGTAATTTGAGATTTCATTTATCTTACAAATGCACTAACCAAGAACAGTTGGGGGACATGAAGGTTACCATCGATCCCGTGTGAAGTAAGGGTAAATTTCTTGTGGCCTTTATGTACACTGCAAAAACAATGAGACCTTATTAAGCCTGTTTCCGACATGATGGCTTTAGTTAAACAGTTGGGGTCATTCAAGGAGAAGACATCTGCATTTACGGATGCAGTGCAGATGGATTTTCCAATCGATACCGAGGAAGACCTAATTCTATTCGATCAGTCTTTATAACAATTGGAAAGAGAATTTTGTAAGCGACTGTTTAATCTCTTACAGTTTTAGATCACAAATTTAGCAACCATTTTCTCATATGGTGCTAGAAAAACTGAGAAATATACTTAATTGCTTTGTTCATATACGGCACAATGAAGAAACCAGGAATAAAAAATTTCACTTTTATCAACTTAGCAAAAGTAAATACTGAAAAGATTTCCTGATGTCTAGACTTTATTAAATCACATTTCGTCAGAGAATTCAATGATGAGGACGATTTCAGGAGAACTATAGATGCGGCTAAGCAAAACTATCTGCATGATTTGAGACAATTTGAAAAGGCGTCAGAGAACATTCGTTAAGTCAGTACCAACTTATTGATACTGTTAATGTCACCTGTTTTTCAATAAGTCTTTTTCATTCAATTATGCTACCATTCGCACAGTAACGCTTTGTGCCGACTGTCTTGATTAACTTTTCATTCATCGTATTTTAGCACGCCTTAACGTCTTTAGAGAAGAATGCAACATTATCACCGGTAAGATGTCATTTCCTATCACGTGTGTAAATTATCCTTAGATAAGTACCTCATTAGTTTCTAACATTTCCCTCTTACAGGACACCAGCAGTGACACTGACAAAATGAATACAATGGACAAGCCATCTTAGCTCTGAAGAAGTGCACTTTTAATGCTGGCGAAGTCTATAATGTACATATATCCATTATAACAGAAGCTTGCATTTCGACATAATTTATAACATAACATTGCTTTTACTAGAGTGTAATTGAATACACCCATTTTACTGCGCATAAAAAATTTGTATATACTTTTCCATTATTCATTGTCTCTTATGCGTGCGATTCGATGTTTGTGTTAACAGCAACTATGGCTGATTATCGGGGAAAATTAGGTGGGGGAATATTTTGTTGAAATTGGGGGATTAGTTATTTTAGCGGGAAAATTTTGCGGTTCCGGGTGGAAAAAGGAAGCATTCCGTAATAATCTTTGTATTCAGTTGCCTCGAAATTGTTTCAATTTTTTTGAAAGGCAGTATACAGTGAAAAAATTATTGACCGATGAAATGAAACACTAACCAACAATAAATGTTTAAAGACCATCCACTGCACCGCATTACGACGAACAACTCTATTCAAAATTTTGTGAAGACCATTCGCTCGCAGAACCATTTACCTTACTTTACTGTTGCTGCATTAGGTGGTTCTGTGACACTAACATAGACAGAGCATGATACGCAACCTTAGGACTTACTTGGACAGCGTGAGGTAGTACCGTGGCGGCAATTTCGTGTGCCCGCGAGTTAGATAAACAATTGATATATTCGGTTGTGATTGGCCAGTTTGGCATTAAAGTTGCGCCAATTTCAAACACTGTTTAACTGCTTCTTGAAGTTCGCATTTCCCAGAAGCATTGTATCCTGTTAGCTGCATAACCGATGATACATGCTATTACAGAACAGGAAAGCTATGAGATGTCAGTGGGTGTTTTTTTGAATTCAGTGGATGCATCCCACACACCGAAGGCTAAGGATTTGGCGGCAGTATCAATAATGCATCCAATATTCCAAAGGATGAGGATAAACGTTATCATTATATATTTTCGCGCACTGTATGGGTTATCATGTTCATGCCTATAGAGGCGTTATAATCGTTCACTTTTGTGAAAATAGATTATATTTGACTAGTTTTAGGCTTCTGTGGCTGAAAAAAGCAATATTTTCCTGTTTTGTGTTCGCATTAGTGGGTTAAGTTGTCTTGATATCCCAGATGGTTTATTACTAAAAAGAGTCATCCTTTATAAGAAATTTCGCATGGAAAGACTATTATTTGCTTTTTGGGGCCTTAAAGCTTTGTTATTTGCGAGTTGTTGTAGATATTAAGGTTGTATATTGATTACAGGCAATGGTTGTTGTCATAGCAGTTATTCTATGAGAACCGGGTATCTGAAAGAGAAATAGCCCACAGAAATACGTTATATGTACGTTTTGAGGATGTTTAACACTTTTATTATCATCCGTGCATTGGGGCAAGAAGAATAGTGTAGATGGTCCTGAAATTTCATAGAAACACAACAACAGTGTTTGAACAAAGCTATATTTTCATCAAAAATGTCAAAGTTTCCATGCCTGCGCCGATATGATTGGCATTAAACATTGAAAATATATACTACCATTCCGAGGACTCTATAGCCACTTGCCGTATATATCTTGTAGGTGGACTTTCAATGACGCATTATCGATAATTGCATTTTATGCCATTTTGCAGTTTCTCGGGACCTTGTTCTCCTCCTCAAGTAGCTTTTAATTACGTGATGGCATAGCACTTAACCATATATGCACTGTTCACTGTGAAGGGTTTACACTTTAACATTTATGATAACCTGTTCTAATTGCTTGTACAATAATTGAACAGTTTAAACTTTTGAAAAGTATTAATTTATGATACTTCACGAATACAATTTATAACATAACTTATTGCGCCTGTGGAAATGGTATGCATTCCTTGTAAACACCCGTTTATACGATATATTAAATTATTATTGTTTGCTTGGTGCTATACTTTAGAAGATGAACAATGTGTGCGACAGTGAAAACCACAGAAGAATGCTGCAATGACCAAAGAATGATAAGGGAGAATGAACCTTTTTCAGCAAAGGTAGGCAAATATAAAGCGTTTAACTTTTATATTACTTTTTTCTTACTTCAGCGATTTAAAAAATACACTTCATTCACTTATTTACAGATGTCGGGTAACGTCAGTCAACCTGGTCACAGCAATTCGACATCGCCGAAATAATTGCGACAAACAATTGTGTAAGGACATTTGGTTGTTATTATTTTTCATTAAATACATTAAACATTCTGCTTACCATACTTTTCTTATTCTATCTGAGTGAAACTACGTTTGTCATCATGACGAGATGGAGACCTGACTTATCAATGAGACCTGTGAAAGTAATTGTTGGCATAATTCAACGTAGGCGAAATCTTACTATGATTGCAACAGCTCCATCTACTCACTTACTCGTCTCACGTAGACTTCATTTTACACTATACTTTAACACCCGTAATCATATGGGTTGACATCACGCTTTAAGTAAAATAATAGTAATGCACTACTTTTGAATACACTTAACCTTATATGAAAGTGAACTCAACTAGAGCGCCTAAGTTCTGTTCTTATTTTTCAAATACTGAAGTTAGGTATTTTTGTCATCGGTCCCTACAGATTAACATATGACGAGGAGACGTAATCGCGTAACTTTAGGCAGATGTTTAGGCTTGACTAAAGTACTTATAATTCACCACTTATATCGATCGATAGTGCTCGTACGGAATGACACTTACGTATAGTAACGAGTTCATATCCTAGGGAGTACCAGTCTAGCATGCCGTACACCCACTGCAAGTATATCAAGTAGAACACAAGAATATTAGATAGAAAATTTTATTTCGCTGTGACGCAAACAAGTTTATTAACGTGTATGGGCTGTGCACAGTCAAAGATAAAAGTCTTTATTTGGGAAGTATCCACCATTATTCGACGGAGACTTCCCAGTGACCAAATTTTGTCACCTTTAAATTCTTCCGCAATTTAAGTACACAGAACTGTATCCCCACATCCGAAGTTATCTGGTATCACGAACTGGAAGAAAGAATATCTGCAAGGTTATAACTGAATCAGCGAACTTACCTTCACTTGCTGTCGTATGCAAAATCAATTCCTACAATTGATTATGCAAATGTATCCGGTCATAAGTCGTAAAACACTCGTCAGTGTTTTTCGGATGTCTTTGTCCGAATGCGACTACTTCCACTGAATTAAACTATTTGACAGGCCTCATTACGACTCGATACTCCTAAAAGTGATACAGAATAAATTCACTTACATAAGTTAAGCATTTACATAATTAACACGCATGACTTTGGTATTCAACAAATTCAGTCATTTTAGTTTACATTTCTTTTTAAATGTGGAGCATAATAATGGCGCAGAAAATATCATGAGTATAGCGCATACATAATATTAATAGCTGCCAGTAGTTGTGCCATCGAATAACACTACAAGAATACATTTGACAATACTTTGTTTGTGGTCTGAGGGACGAAAATATTAGAGCGAAACATACAAGCTTCGTGAAAGTTTCACAAAGTTGTCTCACTACTATGCAATGTCTCATTCGCCGATTTTTCCTCTGCATGTGAACGTAACCTCTGTTAGGAATACATAATGTCTTCGCCTTTTGAAAGTCTTCTAATGCGTTCGCAGCTTCTCACATATGTGCTGCTTCCCCTAGCATTGATTACTTGCTATGAAATTCTAGAAAAAGGGCTGGTTAACGAAGCACACTATCGCGACAGCTAGTCACAGTTAATTCGCGAGAAACACAGGATACCAGAATATGTGGGTGAGAAATATCGAAGTAGGGCAAAGTTAAACTTTCAGCACCACTAACAAACAATCAGCAAATGACCTTAAACGGACCAATCACGTTAAAGAGGCATTTATGATAAATAGAAGTGTATATTTATAGAAAAAAGCATTAAAAAAGCATGGAAATGTTACAGGGGTTTCTTTCCCAGTTAAGCATCGAACTGTCAATAGAAAAGTTACAGAGAATTGTGACCTTTCCATTCGTCCATATGTATTTTAGATCCCCGTTTTACAAGTCTGGTAATATTTGGATTTTAAGTAGTTGCTTTTCTGTCTGCTATCGTTTCGACGAATCCCTTTAGGAAGGGAGGGGTCATACAAACCTATTACCCAAATATTGTTCGCTCGCTGCCGACCACGGTTGTAATTCTTCTTCACCAACACAGTTTCACTGACGTGCACAACAATGTCTTCTCCACCCAACAAAGAAGTGATTTCCTCCATTTTCCAAGAAGCAATATCTCTGCAGTGCTGATACCACTGAACTGTTGAGACGTGGCTATTCGCCGTTCCAGAAGCTGCGGCTCTCACTGGCTGTTTTAAGACCCAATAGTTGCAGATATACAAAATTTGCATTAGGATAGGTGTGGCCTTGAAAAAATGTTCCTACGAAATAATAAAATTATCAGGTTACCTTCTCTAATTCTAACTTGCTTCAAACATATTGCACAACGATGGACGTATCCATCAGTTGACCTGCTAAAGCTTTTTGAAGTCACGACACCACCACATGAACAAGTCCTCTCCTTTCTAAGCAACCTTAAATCCGGGCAATACTCGAAAACACTATCCTCCTTGAATTGCAATCGTAACCTTGTTAGGGCACGTATTTGAAATGAATCAATCGCTATACAGCATTGGAATTACGTCCATGAATCTCATTGGATAATTCGACCTCGTTTACTGACTGGTAGTTAGTGGTGCTTAAAGTTTATCTTGGCCCGAAGTAGAAAATACTGTACGTAGAACCACAACTCAAGAAATGCGTTAGGACCCATGAGATCGTAGTCACTGATAACCACCATTATGGTTAACCAGTCTTAAGAGAGTGTACACTGAAAGGAGCACTGTATCTGTATAAAAAACAGTGAAACAATGTCAGAATAGCCAAATGTTACATTTACATTCGTCAAAGTTGCTTGCAAACCACGCATAACACAACCACACAAAACGGCACACGATAGCACCTATCAAGGACAAATTAAAAATCCGGTTGACCGCCACTGTTCTAGCCAATGAAAGGCAATAAAACCTGGAGCGCGGTAAATATTAAACGCGATAACGACCTCAATTATTGCTTGACCATTATTTTCAGCTAACCTTAATTCAGCATAAAATACACAGCAGCCTGGTTAATCATGATGAAAACGGCATAGCTGATGCAGCATATAAGTTCTTATTGACGGTACATTCCTGTCATGAAGATCGGAAAGCAGGTATTGAAACATCACAGTAAGCAGTAACATACGCAGGCTTCAAGTTGTTAGTCGAAACACAATGAGTTTCCTATTCACTTCCAGAATTAATCTTCAGTTCAGTTGGAATAAACCAGTCGACACCATCAGTATTATGAAATCAGAGCAGTGAAAGTAAGCAAAAACCTCCATTATGGACTAGATTTTATCTTGAAAAATCACAGCGTTGCACAGTAATATTAAGTGATGACGTTTCGAACACAAATTATTTCTCACAATCATATGAAATCACTCGCTCAACTGTTTCGCTACATTTATATACATGAGTAAAATTGATTAGACATTTGAATAAAAATCAATACACGATAAAGTACATTCAGTAATAATATTAGTGTTATCAATCAAATACAATCAGATGGGAAATAAGATGCTTTTATAACAAAAAATAAGTAACTTGTTAACATTATTTATTGTCCTCTGATTTGGGTGTAGACCTGATGAACCAGGGTTCAGTAATCAATCTCTCTCGCCAACCCCTTATATTGCTCTTTGGAGTTTGGACTCTG